GCTAGGAGCAGGTTGAGGGGTGGTGGGGGTCCCACCTGGCGTAACCGGCGCCTGGAAATGCCGCAGCGGGAGGCAGCTGGGTCGCTTGGCCCTCGCCTCGGCTGCCACCTCTCCCCGCTCCTCCTCTGCATGCTTCTTGAAGGAGAAAACCTTCTTGAGGCTGGGTCTCTTCTTCAAGGCTCTGCCCTGCGGGGAGGATGTGCTTGAGTAGCCTCCTGGTGCTTTAGCCCCTTCTAGTTTGGAGCTGTGAGGAGCTTTGGCTCCTTTCTCCTTTGCTTTTTGTCCTGCATTTTCCTTCTCCTCCTCAGGGCTCTTCTTGAAGAGGAAATTCAAGAGACTTTTGAACCAAGTGCATTGGGTTTTGCTCTGGCAAGAGTTTTTTGTGCTTTTCCTCTTGGGCTCTGGCTCCTCTTTAGGGACCTCCCCAGGAGCTTTGTCCTCATCATCCAGAGCCCCATCGAGGTGAGGTGCTTTGGGTCCCTCCTCATGGTCCTTCTTGAGGCTGAGCTTGGCACACGAGTACTTGCAGAAGTCGCTTTTTGACCTTTGCAGCTCAGGCACCTTCCTCCCTTGCTTCCTGGCTCCCCCCTGAAGCGTCTTCTTGGTCACCAGCAAGTTTTCGTGGCAGCTCAGTGAGCGGCTGACGTAGATCTCCAGCACTTTCTTGGCCTCTTGCCTGTCCAGCGAGAGAATCTTCCCCGACGGCTGCCTCCCCTCATCCCACCGAGGCTTCTCCGAAGCCAGAGCCTGCACGTTGCTGCAGAGAGAAAAAACATTTTCAGCCTGATTTTTGCTTTCCCCAGGACGCTGCACAGTCGAGTTGGGCATGATGGAAATCACCCCCGATTTGGCACACAAGGGTGCTTTGGGTGTCTGAGACAATTTATGCTCCCAGTAAATGATCAACCCCTTTTATAGTTGTTATCTGAGTGCTCCTTACATGGACTGCACACGCGAGGGTTTTACAATGGGCTATAGACACGGCTGATAAAGGAACCGAAACTGGGGAGGGTGGGGAGATGAACTGGCACGTCTCAGAGAGAGAGGCAGGTTATCATCCGGAGGGTTTAATCCAGCTGCTGCAACTTCCTATCAAATGTATTCCCACATTACAAATGAGGAGCACCTTTCCCCTGACAAATCACACAACCTGGGCTTTTTAGTACCTCCCCTTAAAGAACTGGCCTGGAAAAATCATTCCCTGACAGAGGTGGGGTCTCCCAGCCCTTGGAGAGGCCAAGGGTGACGGGGGCTTTTGCAAATATCCTCAGTCACTGCCAATATCTGCCAAGCTCTTGCGATGACACAGCCTCCCTTTGAGCTCTCAGCAGTGTAGGGCTGCGAGTGCAGCTTGGAGGCCTCCATCCCTGCTTCTCCCATTGCCTTTTTTCTCTACATCTCCAAGCAAAATTAAACAGAAGATGCTGCTACTGATGAACAGGAGAGTTGTGCCTGCACCTTGTCCTGGCTCTACTTCCAAAACCAATTTCCCCTTTCAGAGAACCAGACCCAAACCAGACTTTCTCCACCACCGAACAGCACCGGAGAAGCCAACACCGGGATCCGGCAGGTTCAGCCGTACAACCCGCCCCAGGGCCGGGTGTCAGCCTCCGCTCGGCCTAGATGAGCATCATCCCAACGTGCAAGCACACCCACCCACCCCACCTTGGCCTTTTTATTAATCGAGAAGGCAAGTTTCCTTCATCCAAGCCAACACCAAAGCCACCAGACCACCCGATAATAAATCATCCTGCTAGATTTAATCACGGCAAAGCAGAACCCCCCATCCTACTTTGATCGGTTCTAGTACATTTGCCACATAATTCTTTATTTGCTCTTTTGGTATTTACCTTTCCATCAGTATTTCTGCCCTTCTGGACATGTGTCAAGACAAACTCCTCAGCCACGGGCACTAAGAGTTGCCAGGCTCTCCTGGGAGGTGCCTTTTTTATACCTGAGGCTGGTGCCTGGGTGAGTAATTCCTATTTTTAGCAGCCACTCAGGTAGCAGAGCGGCCAACGCTTCCGCCTGGGATCCCCAATATCACCTCCCTCGTGGCGGAAAACCAGCAGGCGTGAGTTTCGCTGGAGAAGAAAACAATTTCCTTATGACAAACAGCAGCAAAACAGCATAAAAATCACCTGTCAGCTGGTGTGAGCACCGGCCTTTGAAACCAGCTATCTACTGCAGTTGTTTGGCGCTTGGTATTGGTTTGCCGTTGGTCCCTGTGGGTTTTTTTTAATGGGCGTGATGCCACGTAGAGCTTTTTCTGAGTTGTTTTTGTAAGGAGAAGCTGTAACTTGCTCAAATAAATGGAGTTTCAATGCAGATTATTGCCCCCTCTCACATCCCAGGAGCTTCCAGGCTAGCAGATCCCGGGGGCTGTGCGGGGCCAGGGCAGTGAGCTCTTGGCTTGTGGCCAAAAACACCGGGCACGGCTGGGCTGCAACGTCCTGGAAACCCACCCTGGGGTCCTTCACACAGCCCACGCACCCACCCTGAGGTGTGAAACAGGACCACGAATCCTTTGCACCCCCGCAGTCGCACCCCCCGGGGCAGAGCATCCCCCCAGGGCCGAACCCGCCCGAGGGAGCTGCACATCCAAACACCTACAACCTGCTCCCCGGGCCAGAAAAAAATCTTCTTACGCCTTTCTCACACACTCAAGACTCAAGTGGCCCCACAATCACCCCCTCGGACCCCCGTGCCCCCTCCTGCTGGCTGTCGCCCACCGTCCCCATCACTCTTTTGCCACCTGATGGCAACACCTCGTACTGCACCGGGCGGGGCCGGGGCTCCGGGCGGCTCAATTTGCCGGGCAGCGGCTTTGGAAAAACCCCGCAGCGAGATTTCCACCGCCTTTTCTTTCATTTTCAGCTGGGAAAACGTGCTGACCATGTTCCTCCCGGATGAAAATTATCTTCTCCCGATAATGGGTTCATCTTGCAATTGAAACAGCCCGGGATTATTTTCTTTTTTCCTGTTTCCATAAATTTTTTACAGTCGTTTCCTATAATTGAGGGAGATCTAGATCATTTCCCTCCATTTCTCCTGAGCCTACACCGATGAATCAGAGTCTAGTATTGATTAGGGATCACCTGGCTTTGTTTTTCAGCATCTCCATCTACTTCTGATAAATAATTAAACCACCCACGAGGAGCTCCGTGTTGCTAACTAGCATATGACCACGTCCGTTCATAAGCAGGTCGATTCCAGTGGGTGAGAAGGAGTTTCACAATCAATTTTATTGTTTTTCTTTCTCTCTGCAACATCCATAAAACAAAAAGCCGCATCCACTCTGGTAATGGGGCACAACTTGGCCACCTCCAGTTTGGAGAAGTTGCCACATCGCACACGGCTGAGTCCAAACGCCGTCCCTGCTCGTGGAGGACTTCTCATGATTAAACTGAGAACCAGCCTCGACTTACAGCCTCTTGCAGGCTTTTCCTCTTTGTAGCAGCATCTCTGGAGACAGCCTGAAGATGGGATACCCAAAGCTACTCCAGGAAAAAAAAATCACGACCTGAACTGTGATTCTGGATCCATTTATCCAAGTCCCCTTTTGGGATTTGGGACGTGCTCAAACCTGATGTGAGAGGGCCATAAGGAAAAGAAGTTTGCAAGACAGCCAGGACAAACCAGAGCTGGGGGAAGAGATACGGAGCGCTAAACGTGCCGGGATGAGCGGTGATTGCTCGGCTGTTTACCCAGCAGGATGGGTCCCTGTTCCAGGAAAGCAGCAGATTTACAGCCCCGCCGCCTCTGCTTACAGCGGGGAAAAGAGGAACATTGTACCGGGAAGGACACGAGCGCTTCCTAGAAGCATGGCAAGAGCTTGCAGCCCATCCTTGCAAAGGTGCCCTTTCGTTTTCACCCTCCGAGATGCCTCCGGAGCCATGGCAGCACGGCACAGGGAGGACTGAGTCCTTCTGGCAGCTTCCCAACCAGGCTGGGGAATCCCCGTGAAGCCCAGCATGATCCTTAGTCATCGCAGGAGAAACAGGTGGAGAGAGAGCATCTCGCACGCTCCCTGCGAGCATGGCACGAGCACCGGGGTCACCGACTGTCACCTGCTCCAGCAAAACAAACCCCACAGGCTGGAGAAGTGACAGGATCTTCCGGGCTATTTCCATGGGAAGAAAGCGGGGCTGATGTCTTGTTAGGAAGTCAGGAAAAATGCACCCATGGGTGTGTAGCCCAAGAGTGATGGAGGGCTGAGGTGGGACAGTTGTTAAGGAACAAGGACTGCTTTCCCAACAAAGTTGCTCTTCAGGGCTGGGCAGGACTTATTCTGACTCTCTGCTAGGTTTCACCCCAAGAAAGATCTGGCTTTAGTCTTCCCTGGGACATGAAGCACCTTTTGTGGAAGGAGGGATGGGGTCTGGGTGCTTCACCGCACCTCCCTGGTATGGTGCATCCCCAGGCTGCAGCTCTCTGGGTGCTGGGTCACCTCCAGCCCGCTCTCCTAGCAGAGATCTCAGCCTCCCTTCCTAGCTGGGACCTCCCAAAGGCTGAAGCTCTATGCTCATTTACCTCATTAGAGCTTCTCATTTCCTTCTCCTCCATCACTTGATTTCTCAAACACTTGCACTTTGCCAACGAGCTGGTGACTTTTTTCTGGAAGTGAAACTTCTCAGTCAACATTTCCGGAGATGGGTGTTGTACTGGTGACTTTTTGCCAACCAATGTGACCCAGAACCATCTCTTGCTGCCCGCCAGCATCTCCAGGCTCCATTTAATGGGTATCAAACAGTTTTGGAGAAACACCACCAGCTACGGCAAAAGGGACTCTACCTTCATGTTGGCAACAACAAGTTTTGGTGAAAACCTCAGTCACCAAGCCTTACTAAAGTTTTTCCACAAGACTGACAATTCCCAGGCCCATTCAGAGCGCTGCTGCCCCAAAACCGCTGCTGATGCAGCTCGGAGACAGCAGCTTGGGCACGGGTCCAGAGCAAGGCAGCAGGATAATTTCTGCAGTGGTGCAAAACCGAGGTTGGAAGGAGCTCAGCTTCTCCCATCAGCCATGAAACATGACGCTGCTTCACCTGTGCTCGCCCACACAGCTACGAAATGCTGGCTGTTCACGCTGCCTTCACCCACGAGCAGCTCAGACTGTTGCACTCTGCTTTAGGAGCTGCCCCTGCTTGGGGACAAGATCTGGGTGCTCATGGCAATTGGTCTGAAATGAGGAAGGTTTGCATTTCCCCGTTTCAGACCTTCAAGCAGCAAGAAGTGGGATTTTCAGCCTCACACAGTCACGGAATTTTATTTCCTCACTGAAAAAGCAATTTGAAAATATTAGATGATATTTTAATTACAAAAAGCATTACACGGAGGGAAAGAAGTTGAAATGAGACCCAGCTTAGGGCATCAGCCAGGCCTGATCCAGGTAGATATTTCGGCACGCTCCCACCTTCAAATCACAGGAGCAAGCCCGTAGGAGACGACGAGGTTACAGCGCACAGCATATCTGTGATAGAAATCCATTCTCCAATCAGGGAAATAGCTGATTCAGAGCAGCATGTTCACTTTTAGGGTCACCACTTGCTCCAAAAGCACTTGGGTGGATGCTCGACCTGAAGCACGCACCCCGGTGCTCTCTGCCCAGCATGTGTCACTGGAAGAACGGAGCAGTCTTTACTAGCAAGTTTGAACATTGAAGAGGAGCATCAACGTTTGCTGAGCAAAAACATCACGTTCCCTCCCCGAGGGCAGAAGAGAAGCAAGCAGAAGACCAGCCCACACGATCACCTGCACTTTCGGGGCTGGGGGACAGCTTGAGTGTCCCTTTTGCTAATGAAGCCCCAGAGATGTCACAGCTTTGGCTCAAGGCAGGTTTTGAAATCCAGGACCAGCTCCGTGTCCAGGAGATGCAAGTATGCCAGCACTTCCCAGCAGAGCACAAGCCTGTCTGCAATGTACTGCAAGTGTCACCTTCAAAGATTTCCTACAGTGAAACCTCCAGTGCGTCTTCTTTCACATCTTCATGGGGTCCTCATTCTCCAGCTGCTCCAGCTTGCTGGCTTTCTCGTGGATGATCTCCCCAGGAGTCTTCAAAAACCTGCAAAACATTTTTATAATGGTTTTAACGGCACGTCCAAATCCAGCCCCAGACCAGACTGTAAATGCTGGAGCCTTTGCCCCTCACCAGCTGAGCTCTGAAGCTCACCAGAGGGGACTTGCTGGCCCTGGGCTTTGCTGAGGATCCCACCTCTTGCTTTGCACTCAGGAGGGCTGGGGAGAGGAGCTCAGTGCTCATCAGAACTCATGAACTCATTTGGAATCATCATGAACTCATTTGGAGTTCAAACTAGCCCCAGGGAAGCAGAAGCACTGAAAAGAGGAGGCTTATTTCCACCCTTTCCTTTGTCTGGAGGTGGACCCCAGGCCTGGGGTCACTGGGGAACAGGAGGGACCTACCCCGCTTGGGTGGGCTCCAGGGCATTTTCTCCAGCACCAGCAGGACTCGGTGCAGGACAGCTGCCGGGTGCTGCCCCGCAGCCCTGGAGAGGGCATCAGGAGGGACTTGGAGCCCAGCTCCAAGTGTGCAGAGGACACAAACCCACCAGGTCACTGCATTTTCAGGGGGGGCAGCTGCTTCATCCCGCACCTGGAGCCCATCACCTTGCTGTGCCCCATCCGCACCATCCCAGGGAGCTGGTTTCTCTGATCTGCTTCACCTCACCTGAACAACAGCTTCTGCCCCGGCTCCTTTTTGATGATGTTGAGTTTGTAGTAATGCCTGAGGGCTCGTGACATCTTCTCGTACGTCATGTTCACCCGGTTCTGGAAGGAGAAAAGAATTGGAGGGGGGCGTTGAGTAAAAGCACCAACACCTGGTTTGGGTCCATCTGCAGCAGGACCACACGTGGGACGTTCCAGGTGGGTCGTGGGTGTTGCAGATCCCTAACCCAGACTTGCTTCTGGGTCCACAGCCACCACGGTTTGCTCTCCAGGGGATGAGAAAGCCTCACCAGGAGGCTGGCATCTCCCATCACCCTGCGCCCGCTCCGTCCCACCCTTCCCAGTCCCTGCACCATCAGCTCTGGGGAAAAGATCATGAAGATGAGATGGCAGGAGCCCAGGAGTGACAAATTTATTCTCAGTTGCGTTTACCTTATGGTTCCCCCAGAGCTGGGCAAGTCCGTTTGGGTTAACGACCCGGAAGACCTTGGCTTCCTTATCTTCCCACTTGATGTAAGGCTCGTAGCGGCTGTCGGAGAGGAGCTGGTACACATAATCCCAGAGCAACCTGCAGTCTGAGCGTTGGTGGAGAATAAATAGTCGCAGAGCTCCCACTAAGGCACCTGTGCTCCAGGATTGCACGTTAGCAGTGATAATAAATATAAAAAGAGCCCAGAGCTCGTGCACAGCACTTGTACTGCTCGATCTCAAAACCCTAGCAGGAACTTCAATTTTTCAGGTGGGGAAACTGAGGCAGGGAAACACACACGGATGCATGGAATAAATGGAAGGGAGGCAGGTGGGCAGACAGCGCAAAGCACAGTCTCATTTTCCCAAGGAACTAGGCTATAAGTTCACATTTACCTGCAATTTTCCCATCTGCTGGGGCCGACAGGGCTGCGGGGAAAGAGCAGATGGTGTCCGCCCCGGAGCTGCTCTCTGTGCTGCAGTGGGAGAGGTTCAGGGGCTCCGTGTGGCCGCGGGACACGGGCTGTTCTGCACAACCCAGGTAGGATGAAACAGCAACTGGGGCAGCCTCAGCGCTGCAGTCTGTCTCTGAAATAAGAAACAAATACCTTAATAAATAGATAAGCCCACTTGCGGCACAGGATGGCAGGTCCCAGGAGATCTTCCAAAGCCCCGAAACGGGTGAGGAGGGCCAGCCCAGGTTGGTTCTCAGCCTAGTGCCAGCCCAGCCAGAGAGGGCAGGTGCTGGGACTTTCCTATGGCAGGAACAGCAGAAGGTCAGGGAGAGATGCCAAGCAGGGTGAGGGTCAGACACAGAGGAAAAGCTAGAAGAGAAGAATACACAAAAAACTCCCTCCTAAGCGGTTGTGGGAGCTTAAGGTGTTCACCACCCTTCACCTGAGCAAGCAGAAGAGCTCAGGAAAGCACTCACAGATCCAGGTCAACACAGAGGCAGACACCAGTACCAACCTGTTCCCACTCTAACTCCTACCTAAGCCCCCCAAGGGCATTAATGAGCCTCACTGGCCCTGGCCAGCCTCAGCTGGAACTTCTCCCTACTCCACTCCTCGGCCCAGAAGCTCTATTCAAGGTCAGTCCCAGCTTCTTAGCCCCTCCTCAGCTATAGCTGTGCCTCTGTCTGGCTGCTGACCCTCCCTGACCCCAATCTCAACCTGCAGATAAACTTCTAGCACAGCCACCGCCTGACCTGGTCACTATGGAACCCACCTGATGCTGTCTAGGCTGGATTCTGACCAAACCTGCTTCGTCATTACAAACTTCCTTGATGACCTGGACTTTGTTGGACCTGGCTGCTATCTCTGGGACTGTCCTGCTTGCCTTGCTGGCTGAGCTTCACCCCTCAGATGTGCACAACCTACTGTAGCTGAGGGCAAGCTCTGCCGTTCTCCGTCGTACCTTCCTCCGTGCTCCTGGCTTCCCTGCAGGGAGAGCTCAGCAAAGGGCTGCACACCAGAGCTCTTCTTTGAGTCTTAATGTACTGGAGTATTTCATACAACACATCGCCTGCAGGGAAGGAAAGTGTTCAGGTGGCTTTGTGGTACAGTCTCTCGCAAGTTGATGATGTTGCTCAGATTTCTGTGCTTCAGAGCAAGAGGTTATTCCCCATCCCAAAGCATTTGCAGTCCAGATGGACCAAAGGAAGGAAGAGGGTTGTCCTTGTCTCGGCACCCACCTGGCCAGAGCTAAAGCCTGGCCTGCTGGCACCCATCCAGCCCCTCTCAGCAGACCACGGCTTGGGTGGTACTTGGCTGGTCCTCAGAAACCCCCTGGTGCTCGGTCTAACCTGAGCTCGGAGCTCGGTATCTGAAGTCATCCTTGGTGAGGATGCACAGGGCTCTGCCGTTCATTTCAAACTTGCTTTCGTCAGTTGGCCGAAGGGAATACTCTTTCTCAGCCCATCTCAGCCAGTGGATCACGTCGTCCTTGCTCCACAGTGAGGGCTGGATTCCTGAAACCAGGAGCAGCAACAACTCGTCTCCCTCTTGGAGACTGCTGAGGGGCAGGGTGGGATACTGGTCCTCTCCATTACCAAACTTCCCCTTTATATTATATTAAGCACTCACAGGTCAAAAATGCCCAAAAGAGAGAAAATGAACCCTGACGACTGGTCCATCTGGCCCCCCTTGACAGCAGAGAATGGTCCCTGCATGGCACACCATGTTCCCACCATGTGCCAACCTGTGGGAACTCCTTTATTAAGCAGCGTTGACTTGCTCAACATTTACTCACTCAGCCCGCCTGGCAGCTGGAAGATCTCCCCCTCGCCGATGGGTGCGTGTCTGGCCTGGGACAGGGCTGGTGACGAAGCTGTGACCAGGGGGCTGGAAGAGCTGGCCACCACCTTCCCCTGTGGAGAAGAGATCAAACACATCAGTGCGGGGGGTGGAAATTCCCAGCTCTGATCCTGCTCTTCCACGCTGGCCCCAGGGTGAATCTCTGGTTGCCCAAGGCAGCATTAGTAGCCAGAGATCCCCTCCTCTTCCTCCAGTTCTTTACTTTCTCATGCAGGCTCCAGACGAGGGTTATTAACCATCCCCGCTGCCCCACGGCTGCAGGGATGTAGAAGATGCAGCCAAGCCTGGCAAAACCTGCAGTGCCTGTGCTGCCTCCTGCTTCCTGCCGGATCCTCAGACGCTCGTTGGATGCCCAGGGATTTAGGACAACACTTCAGTTCTTCAGTGTTGTGAAAATACAGCTGGCAACAACAGCGCGTAGATTTTTGTCTTTTAAAAAAACGTATGAAGGGATGTCTCTAACGTTTTCCCCAGGGATCACCCGGGCAGAAGTGGAAACATTCATCCTAGGGTTTAGAGGGTTCCTTTCGTCCTGTTCGCCCAAGCCCTCGAGAATTGCTCCTGCCTCTCTGTCGCTCACTAAGAGCCCCTCCAGCCTCAGCGAAGGGGCGAGATGGTCAGAGCTGGGAGGACAGGCTGGGGTGGGGGGTAGGAATCGCCCCCGCTCTGCCCCTGGGCTCTCACCCACAGCCCGTGAGCTCAGACCCTGCTACACCTTGAAATATTACTGGCAGCCGAGCAGGTAATGTTTCCCCTTAAAAATCTATTAACACGAATCCAGGCAATTTCTCAGCTTCATTCCCTGGAAAAATTAACAATTTTGCCACCAAAAGGTATTTCCCAAAGTGGCTGCCAACTCTCAGCACTTCAATACACCCTCAGGCAGATTTTTGGAGGTGGTTCGAGCAGCCAGGGTTCCTCGGCTGTGTGTAGGGGGAGGCAGAGGAGCTGAGCCCCCCTGGAAATCAGAAGCGAAGAAAAAAATCAGTGTGCTCTGATGGAGCAGGTGGTGGTTGGACACATCTTAAATGGTGTCCCCAAAACCAGAAGCAGGGGACTCAAACTCTCCATCCCTCCCAGGGAAGTTCCCTGTGATCCAGGGAGGGGGGAGTTACAGAAGGGCAGCGCTTTGGGGAGGGGTTTTCTTCAGCAGAAGGATGAATATTTAACAATTTGTGGTGTGACCGATTGCCAGCTGCCGAATGAGCAGCTTTGTGACATTGTGTGCGGAACCCAAAGAAACTCTGAATGGGCTTGACAGCAACACGAACTCTTTCGGATTCTTTCTAAGCAATAAGCAATGGGAAAAATAAAAGCGAAATAAATTAGCTGCGCATTTTGTCTAGAACTCCTCTAAAAAAAGTATTTGGGGTTTTTTTTCCCCATTGGTGTGACTCTTACAACGAGATTTACAGTTAAAAACAGATAAAAAACAGTTTGGTTATTTTTCTTGCCCCTCAAGATTTCTCTGGCATAAGAGACCCATTCTGAATTTTTATTACTTTGTGCCGATTTTATGTTCTTGTTTCTTTTTTGTTATTATTTTTCGCCTGTTTCAACAGGCGTTTCGGGGCCGGGATTTCCTTGCTCCGAGAGGAAATATTGTCCTTGGAGGAGTTCGAGTGGGAAAGCGAGAGAAGTGGGGTGAGAACGGAGCCCCAGATGTGCGACAGCGGTTTTCAGCTCCGTCCCAAAGCGGGGCACGGAGCCCCCCGGCCGCCCCGGGCTCCGTGAG